ATGGATTTGTTATGGGCAATTTTTTTATTCTAATTAAGAGATATTTCTGGTTTGAAATTAAATTCAATAATCTCAAAAAAAAAAGGCTCTTAATATTTTAAAATTAAAATTAATACTTCATAAAAAGTAGTTGTTCGTCCCCCAAATTAAATCATTTTATAATTACAAAAAATCTATCTTTTATCAATCAATTACCTCTGTCCAAGATTCATTTACTGATGCTTGTCATTTTCCATAGGTAAAAGATTTAATGACATAGTCAGAAGTTCTTATTATATGGCTCCTGAGGTACTAAAACAAAAGTAGCCATATTGGGCAGGTTAGATTTATCTTGTGAATAGTGTATTTCAGCTCATGACAAATGGATTTTTAATAGCTGAGAATTAAATTTTAAGTCGCTATGGATATACTGCTAGAAGAAAATAAATGCTTGTCTTTGAATGGCTTCAATACGGTCAAAAAAGAGTAGTCCGTATTTTTCCCAAGTAATAAATATATATGGTCTATGCTAGCTGCCTGTATTGTGAGAATGAAGTCTAAAGCAAAAACATTTATTGAATTTGATCTTAATCTGGTCACTGTGCTTGCTTTGATCTCAAGTTGCGGCTAAATGGGTGTTTTTGAGCTTAGAAAATGACTTCATACTTACGTCGTTATCAATATGGTATGCTGCTTGATCATAATTCTGCGTCTTTCTCAGCATCTTAGAGCTAAAGGCTGAGTTACAACTAACCATTTAGTTTTGTGCGGATCCAACTGAAAATATAATTAATTATTATCAAATCAAGGTCTTAAACTGATTTTCTACTTGAGTTATGATCCTTCCATCTATTAGGTTTTTCTTTGTCCCAACAATTATTGCATGTAAAAAAAAAAAAAAGATAAAAAGTGTTAGTTATAAAACTTTTTATTTGTCTTGAATATACCCCGTGCATTGCACGAGCACTGAACTAGTTTTTTTAAACACAGAAAATTGAATGCACATTATTTATTTATAAAAAATTATCATCTAAAAATAATAAATATACAGCACTATTCCTTGCATTAAAATCGATTGTTTTCCTTAAAAATTAATATTTTATTTTATTTTAAAATAAATTTTAATTCTAAATAGTAGAAGTAAAATAATCTTTCATTTGAATTAGATTTCAAAATAATTCATAAATAAAAAATAATAAATGTTTCAGGTATAAATAATAGTTTAGATTTAGAGCGTAGGGTATTATTTTTAATATACTAATAGATCAGCTGAAATTAAATTTCAAGCATAATTAATTCTAAATAATACCACCAAATTTCAAATTTTGAACATACATCATGCCTCGCATATAAGCCACAATTTTCGTGATAAGAGAAGTTATATAATTTTATTTATTTTTTTAATTTAAAATATTTGCATATAAAGGGTATTTTGGTTTTTACAAAAAGTAGAAGAAATAAGACTCATTATTGGAGATAATTGCAATAAATTCTATAATAAATCGGAATTAATTGCATTAATAAAAAATTAAAAAAAAAAGTAGATTTATCTACCATTAACAAAAATCATTATTTTGCAAAAATAAATAGAAAGACATAAAACGTGTACTCAAATGAATATGATCAAACGACTTCTCAAGAAAAATGCATAAATAGAGAGATCATGGGTAAAAATGTGGCTTTAACAAAAATAAAAATAAAAAATTTATCTGCAAACAATTCAACTAAAATATAAATAAACAATACATCCCAAGAATTCAATTAAAACCATTTAAATAAAAAATATTACATTATGAGAGATAACTAACTGATTCTATTACAAAAAGAGATAGGTAGTGGAAATAAGGAGGAACATGCATTATGGTGGTGAATAACACAAAAATAAAGAGTTGGTCATTAAATTTTGGCTTTAAAAAAAAGAAAAAAAAACCTATTTATCTATATTCTAGTGAAACTAAAGTGGCAGTCTGTTAGTAAGTCATGTTTTGTACTTTACTTTTATACAGTAATAGATAAATAGATGGGGAAATGGCAAATAAAGACCCTTGAAAATATAAAATGGCAATTTGGGTACTTCAATTCATAAAATTGCCATCAGAGACCGGGTCCTAGATTGCAATTATGAAATGAAGCCCAAATGACTAAAATGCCCTTCCTTTTCTCTTTCTTCCAGCACCTCATTTCTTTCTCTTTCCTTCTTCTCTTCCTCTCTCTCTTTGTCCTACTCTCCCTCTCTGGAAACGTAAATTTCTGACTTCCTTTCTCTCTCTCTCTCCCCCCTCTTTCTTCTCTTTCCTTCTTCTACTCTCCTTCGATTTCATTCTTCTTCTCTAGAACCGTGACGTTCTTCTATGTGTTTCCCAACCCATTGATTTGCAATGGAAAAAATGAAAACATGTTAATCGTGTAGCTTCCATATTTAATTTTCTGCAAAACATGTAATGCTAATAGCCTAATATAGTACTCTTCATATAAAAGCTCTCATTCTCCATAATCTCTCTTTATTCTACAACCTCATCTCCTACTGATATACTCGAATTAACAACTGTTACCTCCTTTCATTGTAAAAAACTAGTTGTTGTCAAAGAATTCTGGAAATTATCATTTACGAAGAGAAATGTAAACTTGTATAAAAACCTTATCAGAAGTGATAAGTTCACTATGACAAATGATAAGTTGAGTATGATAAATAACAAGTTCTCATAAGGTTTTCATACAATTTCAAATTTCTCTGTTAAAATGACTAAATTTTCATATTGATTTATGAAATGACAAGTTTACTATGGCAGATGACAAGTTGAGTTTGACAAATGACAAGTTCACATAAGGTTTTCATACAATTTCAAATTTCTCTGTTAAAATGACTGAATTTTCATATTGATTTACGAAGTGAAAAGTTTACTATGACAAATAACAAGTTGAATATGACAAATGATAAGTTCCCATAAGAATTTCATACAATTTTAAATTTCTCTATTGAAATGACTGAATTTCCACATTGATTTATAAAGTAACAAGTTAACTATGACAAATGACAAGTTGAATTTGGCAAATGACAAGTTTCCATAAGGTTTTTATGCAATTTCAAATTTCTCTATCAAAATGACAGAATTTTCACGTTGATTTACGAAGTGACAAATTTACTATAGCAAATAACAAATTGAGTTTGGCAAATGACAAGTTCCCATAAGGTTTTCATACAATTTCAAATTTCTCCATTAAAATGATTGAATTTCTACATTGATTTACGAAGTGACAAGTTTACTATGGCAAATAACAAGTTGAGTTTGGCAAATGACAAGTCCCCATAAGGTTTTCATATAATTTCAAAAAAATGAATGAATTTTCACATTGATTTATGAAGTGACAAGTTTACTATGGCAAATAACAAGTTGAGTATAGCAAATGACAATTTCCTATGAGATTTTCATACAATTTCAAATTTCTTCGTTAAAATGACTGAATTTTCATATTGACTTATGAAGTGACAAGTTTACTATGGCAAATGATAAGTTGAGTTTGGCAAATGACAAGTTCCATCAGGTCTTCACACAATTTCAAATTTCTCTGTCAAAATGACTGAATTTTCATATTGATTTACGAAGTAACGAGTTTACTATGACAAATGACAAATTGAGTATAGCAAATAACAAGTTCCCATAAGGTTTCATACAATTTCAAATTTATCTGTTGAAATTAAAATTTGCAGATTTCTGACAGCAACTACTTCTGATAAACAGTAAATGACAAGTTTAGTAAGATTAATGACAAGTTCAGTGAGTTGAACCCCTTGTACAAGGAAACTAATTACGAGCTACACCTCATGCAATCTTGAGTCTTACATTCCATCATAAAGTTGACTTCCCTTCCTCATTCACATGCAATGAATCATCCAAGCTTTCATTCTTTAAGGAGGAGTAGATTATGAACTTGTCACCATCAAATTGAAATGTATTTCCTAATCTAACCATAGTTCTCAAAGAATTTCTTGACACCTTGTTCCATTTGGAAGAATTGTCCTGTATGCAAGACAAAATCCAATATGATCTTGGTATGTTTTTTGGGTATGTAAACACAAAAAAGTTCAAACTATATATAAAAAGACACATACACATTAAAATAGCCTTTGACTTTCTCCATGAAATTGATAAATTGACTAATGAAAGTTAATCATGAATTTTCATTTCTTGATTTCCTCCATAACTGTTCTGATATATCCAAGGCGATAAAAGATGAATCAAATAATGTTGCAGATTTGGTACTTAGTTCAAGCAGGGGCAGAATATCACACTCTGTAAGCATTACACATAATCTTAAACAAGCATAAAACAATGCTCCAACATGCTTTGCTACACTGTTCCTTCTCTCTCCGAGACAAGGAATAATAATTTCAAAGTAGATTTTCTATTCAAAATCCAACAAACCATCGCAATATTATTTTGTTACAAGAGATAATAGTACAAGTTGAAACTTTACCAAATATTCTAAGGTACAGATCCTTCTTCGCTGCACCAGGTTTGTGGCTATGGAAGGTGGAAATGGAGATAGGGTTTTGAGCTATGGTGGAAGAATCAGAACATAGCATCGCCTTTCTCTCCCTCTAAATTCTGAAGTGAGAGACGTGGCTGAGGTGAGGACTAGAGTGCTATGCTTTGAGCTTGATTCAGTAGCAGTAAAGAGAAGGACGAGAGAGAGAGAGAGAGAGAGAAAGAGAAGAAAGAAAAAGAGGGAGGGGATGAGACGGAAAGAAGAGAAAGGGAATGACATTTTTGACTTTTCTCCTGCATTTCATAATTGCAATTTAGGACCCGGTCTCTTGCATTTCATAATTGCAATTTAGGACCCGGTCTCTGATAGCTATTTTGTGAATTGAGGTACCCAAATTGCCATTTTATATTTTCAAAGGTCTTTATTTGCCATTTCCCCTAAATAGATTTCTTTTATTGGAAAATAAAATAAAAATTATTTAAAAATATGTTTTCGGTTATGGCTGGAGAATATTAAGCTCCGTCCCGGTCATTCCCCTAATCAAAAACCCTAGCTGCCCATAAATACTGTTTTATACTACTCTCATCCTGCCTCTCTGCTGCAATTCTTCTTAGGATTCAATCCCAATGGTAAATCTTTCGTCTGTTTTGTTGCTTTCGAATTTCATTGTTTATTTTCTTCAATGGCTCATAAATCTGAATGAATTGTTTTTGTTGGTTCTGAAACGCACGGAGAGCAGGCTTCAGAGAAGAAATTGTCGAACCCAATGAGGGAAATCAAAGTCCAGAAGCTCGTCCTCAACATCTCAGTTGGTGAGAGTGGAGATCGTCTCACCCGTGCTGCCAAGGTATTTGTTATTGCCGATTTCGCATTTGCAGCTCTTCTGGTGTTCATTTTTGGCTTCGACATTTTGATGACGTGCATTTTCTGTACTTTCTTTTGTTATTCTAGGTGCTTGAGCAACTCAGTGGCCAAACCCCCGTATTCTCGAAAGGTTATATCTTGATCTTTGCTTTGTTTTTCTTCGTGTTATGTTGAACTAGATCATCATCTGCAATTTTCGGCTTCGGTTAAAGTGAAATTAATTGCGTAAGACTGGTGTGTTATAAAGTGAGTCGCTAGTTTATTAGGTAAATGAATGGAAATATTCGGCTTTTAACGATTGTCTAGGCACACTTTCCTTGTGATTCGAATATTCATTGATGGACATGAAGAATACTTCATGGTTTGAAAGCTCTGTCGATCAGAATGCTTGTTGAGTATTTATGGAGTTAGGATTATTGATGTGATTGCTATTTAGATTCGGAGTTCGAGTGACAATAGTTACAAATGCTAGTACTATTTGTAACCTTTTTTTTGCCCCCCACAAGATAAGGTATCCAATCCTAGTGGGCTGCCTTTTCTTTTTTTTGGGGGGGGGGGGGATTCAAAATGGGGTTCATCGGGTCAATGTAGGCGCTTACTGCAGAAATCCCTTGTACAAGATCCTTCTGAATGTAGATACTGTGATCAATTGAACATGTCAGTTCTGTTACTCCTTGGTGGACCCAACCGAGTTATTGAGTTCTCATCCATTCCCAACAATGAAAAATAAACAAGTGCTCTAGAGATATAGCACAACTCTGGTTGTTCCGACCTTTATTTATCTATATATCTTCAAAGGAAAAGATGTTTTGATTGTTGATGAGTTTCAATTTTGTTCACTCCTGCAGCTGCAAATCTGTTTGGGCCACCTTCTATACTGGGCATGTGGGGCTGTTTACTGATTGATTTTAATTTTCTTTACTACTTGTTGACAGCAAGGTACACTGTTCGATCCTTTGGGATTAGAAGAAATGAAAAAATTGCATGCTATGTTACTGTTAGAGGTGAGAAAGCAATGCAGCTTTTGGAGAGTGGTCTGAAAGTGAAGGAATACGAACTTCTAAGGCGAAACTTTAGTGATACTGGGTGTTTCGGCTTTGGTATTCAGGAGCACATTGATCTGGGGATCAAGTAAGCTGCAACGCTCATACATTATATGCATCTATTCACAATTTGAGGTTCTGCTGACATAAATTTCTTCATTCGACTGTGATGAGTTCCTCAATCTAATTAATTAGTTTTGCGTGCTGAACCATATCCGTGTCTATGAAAAATATGAACGAAGATGCAACTCAAAATATTCCTTGAACGTTAAATGCCTTTCTTTTTTATTGGTCAGCTAAACTTGTTTTCTTATCTCTGTTCTTGCACATTCTGCGTGTCTCTACTTGTATGTTGATGCATGGCAGTTCTGTCTTAATTCAAATGACTGTTGACTGTCAGTGCAAGCCAAAGCATTAATCTATATCTGCTGTCTTTTGCTAATCTATGGTTCTGCTTCAGATCTATATTTTCTGTTTTTTTCTTTTTTCTTTTGTTTTTTTTGGGGGCTAATTTATGGTTATGCTTCAGATATGATCCCTCAACTGGCATTTATGGTATGGACTTTTATGTTGTACTGGAACGCCCGGGTTATCGTGTTGGCCGTCGTCGTAGGTGCAAGTCTCGTGTTGGTATTCAGCATCGCGTCACTAAGGAAGATGCCATGAAGTGGTTTCAGGTGAAATATGAAGGTGTGATCCTTAACAAAGCTCAAACTATTTTTGGTTAGATCCGAGATCCGATTTCTCAAGAGTGAGTCACAAGTTTTGTTAATTGTAGTCTATTAACGTTACTTGGACTAAATCAGCTGAAGTTACTATTAGGACGCGAATTTTATAATGGTTCAGGTGATAGAGCTATTTTCTACTTTGTATCATTGACTTTTGGCATCAATGTTGTTATGACGCTGTCACAACTTCGGGGATGAAGGATGAATGTTTTGCCTCGTGGTTTTGTTTATATAGCACTTGCTGGTTTTAATTCCTGTTTTAACGTTTAACTGGAGAAGAATCCTATTTCTGTGTCGCGTTATATACATATAATGTTTTATTATCTTCTTGAAAGCAAATGTGATTGGGAGTTCCGGTGGCTTGTGATCTTTTGCTGAGGTCAGTTTTGACTTAAAATCAACATTAATATTCCCCCGTACGATCCGTGTTTATGTTTTCCAAATTTGTAGTCAATATAAATTAAATACCCATTTCAGATTTTATAAATAAAATAGACCAAAAAAACTTTTTAGAAGACTTCTTATAACATGGATGAGAGGAAGTACAACTTCAGGGTCCTGGTGAGAATGATGTTGGATCTACTGTTAATGACCAAGTTAAGCCGCCTAGCTAGGGATTAGATTTGAAAGACGAAGCAGCTTGAAGTAACATTTCTTTTATGGGCTTCATGAACTCTTTGCTCATCTTTGCCCCTTGTTGAGTAGTTTTAGTGTCACTCCTCCCTTTAGGCTTCGAGAGAGCCCGTGATTGATATCTCGTAGACCTCGTCGTCTGTTGTTGCTCTTGACCTTCTTGCTTTTCCCTCTCTCTCTCACGCACAAATACACTGAAGGACCGAGAATTTATGAAATGACATGAAGATCAGGGTTCAAAATAAAAGTACGTGGACGAAAGTGCTTGCATGTGATTGACAACATGACGTGTGAATAATGACAGCTCAGTTGAAAATTATGAAAGGTTGGTTATAACCATAAAAAGATTGGTTACAAATATGCAAATTATGGAAATTTTGTAAATCCCAAAAATCAATAATCAAATTAAATCCTTCAATTGCCAATCAGTGAATCAAATATATATGCCTTCAAATGCTGTGTTTAAACCATCTAAGATAAGTACCACTTTGTTATTGTTATTATATATAAATTACTTGTATTAGATTCTCATATTAATATACCAATAAATCTAAGATAAGTACCACTTTGTTACTGTTATTATATATAAATTACTTGTATTACATTCTCATATTAATATACCAATAAATATATTAAATTTATAAAAACTTTCATATTTGTTCCTATTAAAGAAAGGGCATTGAAACAAAGTGTTATACATTTTATCTCACCCATTTTCTTTATTTATCTAATAAGGGTAAACTTGAAAGAAAATAATTAATTATGCTACTTGTGATTTATCTTTGGGAATAAACTTTATTCTTATAAATAGAAATAGAGTGGTATATAACCTAAACTTTGACTTTCATTGGTTTATTTGGTGGTATGTCATCAAGTGCATTTTTTCTTTCAAATAACTTTTGTTTTGGAAAAGCCCACATTTTCACAGAATAAAGGTGTTTTTAGTCCTTAAGTTGATGTACTCAAGTGTGACATTTATTATCATCCATCATCTTCTCAATGTGAAATATTATTTATGATGTCTTTGTTTGAATTTCTTTTCCTAATGTCAATGAAGAATTTTTATCTTCTTGCATTTAATTTACAGAGTGAGCCACAGTCAATTCTTTTCCTCTGACATTTAATATTTCAAATTTTCAAATGACTCTTACCTTCACACATTTAATTTACTGTGAGCCCCATTCAACTCATTTCCTTTGAATCTCTGTGCTTCCTCAATGTCCTACCCTCGCGACACGCTCTCTCATCACTATCTTCACACCCTCTCTCATCAACTTTTCAGACACCCCAATCCACCTATCTTTGAAAGAAAACAAAACTCCCCTTTCCTTTATCGTTGGTGATGCAATTTTTTTCTTCTGAGGTCCTTGTATCCTAAGTTCGTCACAACTAATTTGACTAATGAATTTTAGTAACTTAGTGACAAAGCTATTATCTTCCTTCAGTCTTCTCAAGAGATGCATAAGGTGCTTCCGTGTTCGTTTGATTTTCCATCAAAAAAAGCATAAAAAAGGAGCTGGACAAGAGTTTGGGTTTAAAGCTATAATTTAGCCCTAATAAAACCTCCGGTCTTAATTATAATACCTCATTTGTAGACTACAAATAAGATCTTATAATTAGAATTAGAGGTAGTACACATTTTCTTCTAATGATGTGATCCAAAGGTTACGCATATTGTTTCCTCCAATCTATAGCTTGTTATGTAATTATAAATAGGATAAATGAGAAGATATTTAAATAGGATAAATAGAATAAACAAGATTTGGATATTAAGATACTAAGACTTGATGTATTTGTACATAATCAAGTATGGTTAGGATAATTAAGTACAACATTTACAATGATATGACAGTAAAAGCACAAAATATAAGATCAGGAAAACTTAAATTCAAAATAATAATAACATGACTAAAACACTTATGATTCTAGTTGAATGTCTTTGACTTGAGATGACTATGAAAATTTATCTAAACTTGGCGTGTCAGAGCGATAATGTTTAAATAGGATAAATATAATAAGAAGGATATGGATAGTAAGGCACTAAGACTTAATGTATTCGAATGCCATAACCAAGTATGGTTAGGATACTTAAGTATAATATTTACAATGATAGGGAAATAAAAGTACAAAACATTGGATCAGGAAAACTCATTAGATCCAAACTAAGAATGACATGACTAAAACACTCCCCACTCTAGTTGAACGGGTTTGACTTGAGATAACTATGAAAGTTTATCTAAGTTTGATGAGTCAGAGTGACAATACTTGAAATTAAATAAAACTAAATTCTAAAATATGTATATCATGTTAGGAAGATGATCTACCATGTGGAGCACAGGATAATTGGTTCAAGCTCGTGATCAATCTCCATTTAAAGAACACCAACTTGGGGTAGAAAAAATCTTAAATGAAATGAAGGATGACTTGATTAATGCTTGTTGACTCAAGCTACCTGAGATTCAAGCATAGAAACTTAATTTCTCCAAATGATACGATGAAATGCCTGAGAATACTAACACTAAGACATTCTAAAGATGTGACGATGGTAGCACATATTTTTATTATCATTTGAATTAAATAATTCAAGATTACTTTAGGATATATTTCAGTGTATGTACTAAACTTTGTTAGTGGTAGTTTCACAAGAGGGGGGTGGATTGGGTGAGGTATAAAAATTTGACATAATAAAACAGTTAAGCAAATAAAGCAGAAGAAATTAAGTTAGGAAGGTTTTACCAAAGAATGAAGACACGGAGTTTATACTGGTTCAGTCTCAACCACATGGCCTACGTCCAGTCCTCAAAACACCTCTGAAACTTTCACAATGTTCCCAAGATTAAATGGACTCTTGGTATCTCAGTACAGTAATTGAGTCTCTCAATTACTCCCCCTTACTAAGGCTACAATCCCCTCAAGAGTCCATACTCTTGAGTTAATCTCAGAAAATGAGTAATGTGAGGTGTATTAGACTCTCTTACAGAGTAAATGAATGTTAAACACTGAAGTTCGGTAAAATAGAGTATTGAATGCAACAGTAAATTTTTCAACAGACGATAGCTCACTTATTCAATACTTCATTCAACGCCCTTTGCATTTTTTATAGTTAGAGAGATTTAATTATCTATTAGATTGAAGAGCTTCTAGCCATTGGAAGATCGCTTGCATGTGTTTGGCAGTTACAACAGTAGTTCACCATTAATACTTCTGACATGGTAGATTAAAGGCTACTAAATAACTATTGAGCTTCGTAATCTGCATAAGTCTTTTGATACAAGTAACTCTTCTTCTTCAAGTCAATTTGTAAGGGTAACAAAGTAAGTGATGATCATGATATTGATACAATAGATTGAAAAGCACATAATCAATCATCAGATACTTCAAAAGTAATCTTGAACTTACTTGATTGATAAATGTTTAATTGATTAAGTTATCAATTAAACACCAGAAGAAAGACTGAATCAGATATATGCATTTATCAAATAGATTATGGATCATACGATGATTTAACACATGATCGATAAATGACAAAACATGAATACAGTGAGCTCTAAATGAATTATGCAAGAATAATCTCTTTCAAGTTACGTTTGCTTTCACATCCTTTCAATAGAGAGTTATGTGTCAAAGGAAGGTTGAGAAAGGCTTGAAGATATAAAGATAAAAGATTTTGAAGATCATCGTGAATAACTGTTGTGAAATGAACTGATGCAATGATCAAACAAATGATCAAAAAAGGTTTGATCGATCATATTATCGATAAAGCTAAGTATGAGAGAAATATATTTAAAAGTGTGATGATTGAATACCTTATCAATAAATTGTTGATAGGAAAAATGATTGAAAAAAGGTTTTAAAAAATTTTCACAGTGAAGTCACAGAATAGATGCTAATTGATTAAATGATCGATTAATGAGTAATCGATTAAGTGATCGATAAATAGTCATTGAAAGTTGTTCTCAGAAAAAGGTTTTGATGGACCAAGTGATATGAAAAGAGAATGTAGAGGTCTTGATGATCGATCATTTTATCGATAAATGAATGATCCAACAAATGATCTGAAAATAGCTCAAAACAATACTTAATGAGATATGTGCAGTAAAGGAGTTGATAATTGATCATTTGATTGATAAATACTTGATCGATCAATTGATTGATTAAAGATCTTGAAAGAATACTTTGACACAACACATTATTGATTAACGAGAAGTAAATTATCATGCAATGTTTCAACAAGTTATCGATAAAAGTCTGATTAATGAGGTGATTGATAAATGGTGAATTGTTCAAAACATAAAGTAAGTGGGAAGACTTTATCATTTATCTGTGTTCACATCAATAATAGCTTGATCGATCAAGTAATTGATAAACACTATTATATACTTTACCAAGGTTTTGTGACTTTTTCTGATAGTTGATCGAACACTAAATTATCGATTAATTGATCAATAATTTGTTGCAATCTTCTACATTAAACAATGTTATCAATGACCAATCAATTAATCGATCAACTCATAAATTTTGATTTATCTAACACATTATCGATCAATTTTAGTGCTAAGTAACTAAAATACAGAAACAGTTTATCTGATGCATGATTGATTAACCTTTGATCGATTAGGTGA